AACCCGAAAGACTTTATTAGTATCGACTCTAAAAGCCGGTTCGTGTTGGTAGGGCATGCACATACCCGAGCTAATTAGCTCCGTCTGCCTCTGTGCCCATACTCATCTCGAGTCTCAGCCAGAGTTGGGTGGACGTTGCGGAAGTGTGCACACTGCTTTCACTGAAGTGTCTCTGCGTATCGGGGATACTGTGATTCTTGCCCGCTCATCTACTGTACCAATTTCGAGTTAGAGTCAAACCCTGAAGTTGAGATCCGATGCAGTGGTGTTCTTGCAACATACCTCGTGGGCCCCATATTGATTTGTCACTTCACAGTTTGTAAATGCACATTTCTTCCTACTGTAAAAGTATGAGTAGTGTTTAATGCGTTTTGTTTTTGCAGATTTCGCGATTTTCACTGACATGCACACCTGTATTTCTCCCTATAGCTTTGTGGCATGGCCTATCCCCTGTATATTGCTCTGCGTCGCCACGCTGTTCTCAAACACAACTCCAACTTTGATGCTGTGCTCTATGGCAAACCCGACGCGGAGCCCGTGGACTGCCCCTACTGCGAGCTGGTAGCTTTCACCCGGCCCGAAGTGCTTCGCTTGCACCTGAGCAAAATTCATCCGGATCAGGTGCAACAGCAGGCAGTGGTCGCGGCCGTTGCCTCCGCTCTGGGACCCGAAGAAGATGACCTCAACGATAAGGACTGGACGGGCAGCAGTAGCAGCAAGTCGACGGAACGCAAAACCAAAGGTAGACCTTTTTGTGTGGGCACAGTGGTACTTGATCCGATTAGCTCCTGTTGTTGGATGAATCGGATGTCACGAATAGTGGCGGCGATCGGAAGCGAGTTCCTCGCATATGTCAACCCAGTGCTTGTTCCATTGTCGCAAGCCGTAAACTGTTGCGAGACCCATCCGTTCGACGTCAGACTTGACAATTTTGAGCCGCGTCTTCAGTTGACTGCTATATTGTTACCTACAGTTTGCATAGCGAGACGGAACATCTCAGACGCTGGTAATGGGTCGTCGGAAAATCGAGTTTTAATCGTGGATTTTAAAGCAGGTAACATCTGCCCGTCGTGGTCCTGTCGTCTGATCGGGATCGACGACTATCCTGGGTCTCTGTGGGTTATGTTGGCGAAACTGTCCTCATTTGAAAACACTGAGGAGATCTGTTCAACCTCGCACCTGTGCGAAACCACAGGCCTCTTGCCTGTCGACACAGGTTTAATCACCAACCAACCTATATTGTGCTAGCTGGAAGGCGCCCAACCTGAGTCCTAGGAAACGTTGTCTCACTAGAATGTTTTATTTCTAGAGGTTGTTGTGCGACATTCAATTTGGGCCGAAGTATACGAACTACTGATATTGCCCTCGACAGGCATTCACTCATAGGAGCCACGGGCTTGATAGTGTACCGACCATTATCAGCGTCTGAGACGTGCCCTTGGCTGTATAACTAAGTAGTATGATCCTGTGCGATTTGTTCGGGTGGGTCCTGTGTTCGACAGAGAAGTGTTTCTTCCCGGCCCACAAATTATTTATGGTCTTGCGAAGAGCAAAATATGACTGCGAGAACAAGAGTTTTAGTAGCCTGAAGTTCCGCCTTTTAACTCAAATCTGTCATCATCATAAACAAAGTTAGTTAAAGCAGTCAGCCGTTACCAGTATTGTGGCGTTTAGTTCACCAATGTGACTTGCTTGAAGCGGGATGCTGCCCTGTTTGCCTCTTAAGGATTTGTGAACTTCATACTTTTCCTACACAAAGCCCCCTT